GATTGTCATTCTCATTTATTAACACATAATATTTTAGAAACAGGAGGAAGAATAAAATTAAAATATTCATTACCATCATGTCTTATTGCAATTCTGTTAATGTTATAGATTTTTTCCAAATATTGCCTGAAAAAGTCAAGTCAAAAAGATTTTAATAAAAATACTAAAGGTAATGTGTGAGTGTATTTGTAGAGTATTTAAGTGCTTAATGATCTCATTAAATCCAAACCTTAGAATGGTGGGGGCTGCACTTTTGAGAACATGAATTGTAAACTAATGTTTTCTAGTTTTTAAGAAAACATCGATGTACATTTACCTCTACTGTCATGCTTTGCTGGTATAACTGCTGTCTTTCTCCCTCTTGCCTTTTTAAATTGAAGTATCAGTTTTATAAATATAGGCATGAGTTTAATTTACACATAATCGCCTCAAGAAAATTTGTTAAAAAAGGAATCTAACAAATTAAAATGATATAATAACTGAATGTCAAACTTTATAAAATGTATTTTACATTTATATCTTTTACCCTAAACATTTTCTCAAACAAAAGAAAGCCATGTCAGATCTTTTCATATTTTTTTTTTTAATTTTAGCAATTATAGCAATTGGAATAATTTAGCAATTACAAAAGAAATAAATAGAAATTTTTTCTTTTAACATCAAACATCTCTTTTAAATTTGTGATTAACTTTTTATTATCATAATTTCTTAGCAATAAAAGTCAATATCAATTAAAATCAAAATTGGCGTTGTCTCCCTTACTAAATAATTTGGAAGAAAATAAAATAATATTGGGTTAGCAAATAAGTCCTTTAGTTTTTTCTGTTTATTTTTATGTCACTATGATATACTTCTAATCTGATGAATTAATTCCTCAGGTGGATTGTTTATAATATGTCAACAACTTTATCTGTTAACACTTGTTGAATTGTAGCTTAGTATTGTGAATATGGAAGAAAATATTTATTATCAGCATATTTTGTTGTATTATTTTAAAAAAGGTCAGAGTGGTGCAGCTCATAGAAAAATTTAAAATTTTCAGTGTTTATCCGGATAATGCCTTAACTGAGCTAACCTGTCAAAATTGGTTTGCCAAATTTCATTCAGGAAATTTTGACACCAATGATGTTCAACGGTCTGGTCGCCCACATGAAATTGAAATGAGCAATGTAAAAACCATTTTTGATCAAAATCCCATCCAATCAGTGCAAAAGATTGCCATGGCCCTAAATGTGTCGCACACAAGCGTATAAAACCATTTGCACAAGCTCGGCTATGTTTTTAGGCTTAATCTTTTGGCCCTTCACTCTCTAACCGAAATCAACTTGGCAACTCGCATTTCTGTTTATGATTCACTTCCGAAACAGCAACAAAACCATCCATTTTTAAACGCTGGTAACAGGAGATGAAAAATGGACATTTTATGATAGTGTAATGTAGTGAGGCTCTTAGAATAATGTCAAAACCCGGATTGCATCCAAAGAAGATAATGCTTTCCATATGGTAGGATTTCAAGGGTGTTATTTTCTATGAGCTATTGCCATCAGGACAAACAATTGATTCAGCTCTATACTGCTCACAGTTAACAAAATTGGATCAATCAATTAAAAATAAATGTCCAGAACTGGCAAATTGGAAGGGTGATGTGTTCCATCAAGACAACCCTAGCCCCCACACCTCATTGGTCATTTGCAATAAATTATTGAGTCTTGGATGGGACCTTTTGCCCAACCTTCCCTATTCACCAGACCTAGCTCAAAGTGACAACCACTATTTCTGGTCTCTGCAGAACTCCATGAATGGCAAGGAATTCCAAAAGGAAGGGGACATCAAAAACCACTTGGATCAGTTTTTTAGCAATAAACTCCAGACATTCTATGAAGATGGTATTATGCAGTAAGTTGAAAGATGGGAAAAAGTCATATTAAATAATGGTCAATATATTATAGATTAAAATGAATTTCATGTCTATAATACATTGAGTTTTATTTCATCCTGAAAGAACTTGTTTGCCAACCTAATATAATACAAAGTGCTCTACATAATAGAACATTTTGATTTCATTTCAAAACATTTGTAAATTGTAATAATAATAAACTATTTAGTATAATATTATAGAATTTTATATTATATATACACCTAATATTTTCCATATTTCCCTCTCCTAATATGAAAAATGTGTATTAAGAAAGTAAGATCCAGGATAGACATAACTACATTTTGGTGAAAAATGAGTTTGAAATGTCATAGCATGTAAGAAATTAATCTTAAATCCTCCATTCCCCACTCTCCATCCAGCTTTCCCAGTATCATATATATGCCAATGATGTCCAAATCTATCCCTACTTTGACCCTATTGATTCCTCCAATGCAATCATGAAACTACAGGAAGACATCTATGAAATAAGAACTTGGTCCTCTTACAATAAGCATACCATGAATGTCCAGGAGACCAAAGCCATCATTATTGGTTCATCTTCCATCCTTAAAACCTTCCTAGAGCAGCCTTACTTTGCCCTGATCAACAGCCTATCTCATTTCACACCTCAGTTGAAAATCTTGAAGAAATCTTTGATCAAACCCTCTCATGGAAACAACATATCTCCCAAATTGTCCAGCAGACTGTATCTATCCTCAAACAATTCAATTACCTAGTCACCACCTCCCACTTAAAACCCGACAACTCCTGGTTTCATCCCTTGTGTTTCTGCACTTTGATTACTATTGTCTAGTGAACAGTGGACTCTCTGGCGATTTTCAAGCAAGGCTTACCCGCTTATGAATTGCTTGATTAGGTTTGTTTTTGGGATCACCACACATACGCAAATAACTGATTGTGTTCAGCTTAAGTGGTTCTGCCCATTTCACAGGTGCCAGTATTATCTCATATCCTTTCTATGCGAGGTAATCAGAACACATCTTTGAAATGTCAAAGTATGTCATTTCATAATACTTGTACAAGTATAATGATGGTGGATAATTGGTAGATTGTTGACTTTTTTTTCTCCCTGCCTTGCCTTACAGGCAAGACGGGTTGTAGCAGCAGTGGAGTATTACGCAGTATGCGTATGCCACTGCTGGTAGTATAGGTCTATTTAATTAAAATTTTGTTTAACATTATTGTTTATGAGGTGTAGACATATTTGTGTGAACAAGCCCACGCTTTTCCTTTTCTCCATCCTTCCTCCTTTTTCCAACTGAAGCCGACCCTCGAAGCGGTTGTAGCTTGTCTTAGCTTCCTTCTCTTCTTCTCCGATTAAAATGTGTAGGACCTACAGCATCTTCCCACCCGTATACGAATTCCCTATAATGTGGGTAATTCTCTCTGCTCATTAGCTGGGGGAACATGCTCTCTGTCTGCGTATATATCCCGTCTCTCTCAGGAGCTTAGCTCTTAGTGTCTCATAGGCAGTGCATTCGACGACCACATGTTCGGCGGTCTCCATTACTTTGCAGTTGGGACATAGCGGATCAATATTCTTCCCGTGTTTAACGAACTTCGCTCGAAAGCCCCTATGTTCCTTGAGGAGTTGAGACACCCAGTAATTCGGGAGGACCCATCTTGAGTCAAATCGTAACATGACCGTGGGCGGCTTTCTAAGGATAGCCGCCTTCGGAGTTGCCATCCATCGCCGGTTCCATTGATCAATTGTGTCCTTCTTGATAATTCTTTTCCGTCTTCTTGGGTCTTCTTCAATTCTACCCTCAAGAGAATTGCCTGGGTCTTTGTTGCAGCCATCTTCAACTCCTCCTTCTCACACCATCCTCCTACCAAACTGGAGCATCGTTCAGCTTCTGCTTTCAGACCGGCTATGCTATTTGAGGCCATCACGGAGGCCAAATCGTCAACATAGGCCGTAGCAGAGAACCGCTCCTCTTAGAGCTTCTGCAGCAACTCGTCAAAGACTAGCTTCACAAGGTGGGACTCAGAACAGATTCTGCGGGCAGCCCCTCTCGTCGGTGTCGTCTACTTCAAAGAATCTATCCCTAATTTTCAATGTCAGGTCTTGAAGGTAGCTTCTCACTAATTCATATAGGTTACTGCGAGTTTCATACTTCTGGAGTTCCTGGAGAACAATCGGCTACCACACGCTGTCAAATGCAGAGGATATGTCAAACAGAAGAAGCATAACATATTTCGCCGCTCTTGATTTCTCAAATCTCAAAGGCGGGTGAGATTGGTCCTCTTGGATCTCAACACTTTGTCCTATTTAAATATAAAATGAAGAATTGATGTAAGTATATTTTAAAATAATTAATTTAGGATTGTTTAACAAATACAAAGCTTCCAATAAATTTTAAGATTTTAGTTATGGACACTTTAGGAATCATGCTGGGAAGCGAAAAGTTGACTAGTTAATATCAAACTAAAACATTTTGGAAAACAATACCAAATCTTACTTAAATGGACTTTTGTTGACATATGTATCCCAGTAAAAAGAGACCCACAATTTTATAAAATTAAAATTATAAAAACATAATATGACTAATTGATTACCATACACTATTTTTGTTCTTGCATAGTTCTTTTTCAGATGACTATTCGATAAAATATGTAAAAATCTTTGACCAGGAGAGAGTTGAAAAAACTAGTCAAAGTTTAGAAATTGTATTCTATGGAAACGTTTTTAATAAAAAGAAAAGATTCTCGTTTTTTTTTTTGGTCAGTATTAATAATTACATTACTAACTACTTCCAAATAGAAACCGTTTATATTACTAAGTTAGAAAATAGAAACTAGGAACTGATTTTTTTAAAAGTTCGTTGTACAAACCAAAATAACTATACATTGAAATACTGGGTGATAATACATAAAATATTCGAAAATTGTCAAAGCTCTTTGGAATTGACAGTTTCATCTTCACTGGTGGCTGTTCCCGCCGCAGGAGGGAAGTTTATAGAGTTGAAGTTTAAAAATGTAAAGAAATGGTTTTTTAAGTTATATAATATATAACAATATTTAATATTAATAATAATTAGCTGTCACTTAAACCTTGAAAATGTCTGAGGATTGGGATGACTTATTTATGTCTTCGGAAGATTTTTTCACTACTAATATACAAACAGAGCGATTATTAACAAATAAGAGTACGTCAGATTAGCTTTTGATAATATTGCAATTAAATATGGATTTCCCTATTTTTACATTTTTTCTCTACTTTATAGGTATTGAAACAACTGAAAAGAAATTCAGGTGCTTCGATTGTTTAGGGGATGTCAATCCAAACAAAATAGAATTGGATGCAAGCAGTTATTACAGTGTTCAAGATGAGTGCAATTCAGAAAAGTTCAATAAAGCAGTTATTATCGACAATAAGTGTGGATGTGTTACTTTGTTTGACAAGCAGTGGGACAAGAGTTCATTATTGAATAAATATTTGGATTCTTTTTTTAAAATGGCCAGGTACTCTATAGTTCTATACAAATTTTGATTATTATAGTTGTTACTTGCATGTTTGCCATTTAATAATCATTTTGAATGTTTAAGTTACTCTAATGATAGAAAGAATCTTGTAATAATTAAAATAAAATTCAAGCATTTATAAATAATTAAAGGAACAGGATAGCTCATTGAGTAAAACACTACTCCTATCTCCTGGAATCTGGATTTGAATCCAGCTATGGCAGATATTTATTCTGTTTAATCAATGGTTAACCAGGAGTTTGGATACCCTCCTAGGGCATACCCAAAGCTCTTTAAAGGATACCCTAGTTCAGATTGTGCTATAATGACTTATATTTGTTACTGAAATATAGTTCCGTATTAAAAAATACTTCTAAATCTTATACTTATAGACTATGTTTTGTTAGTGATTTAAAATTAGAAAGACATTAATCTTAATTTTCAATCTCCTTCATGTAAAACAATTTTATATTTATTTATATATATATATAATATGTTCATATATATATATTTGTAAATTGTTCGCTCAGTATTTTCTATTCAATTTTATTCAGGAATATAATAATACTTAGTAAATTAATAACTCAACTTGACTGATGGTTTTGGTTGTTTATGATACTGATTATTTATTTATACGAAGTTTACTTTATCGTAATTTTAATTACAATTCTTTTTTGTCAATTAATTGTACAAAGGTTCGTCAAGTAATTGTAATGTATAAATATTCATAATTTGAATTTTAATTCTCTGGTTTCAAATCACAGTAATTGTAATTTAAATTACTTGTCTAATACTGTTATATATATCTGTAATAAAATATCTCTATGTTCTTATAAATATATAATAAATTTGTTTTATGTGTATTTTATTTGTTGTTTTTTTTTCAAATGAAGCAAAGAAATGTTAATAATCGAACAAGCTGCCATGTTGAATGTGAACGTTCTTTCAAATTTTCCATCTGGTTGTAACACACAGCAGAATTTCAAGAAGTCAAGATTTTATTGTGTGGAATATTTTCTTTTCCTGAGAGATGTCATCAAATGGTTTGTTTTCAATTTTCTTGAACCTATTTGTGAACTTTTTATTGTAATATTTCAACTGATTATTCTTTGTTACAGTTTATGTTCTGATGTTACGTACTATTGGATATTAAAAGAAATATATCCGAGATTGAAAAAGCAATTAAAAGCTCTAAAAAGAAATCTTGGTAGTTTAATCAATCTTCCTGATTATATATATGCTCATTCTGCAAACTCCAGTGGCAATAAAGTTAGTGTAATTGTTAACATATTTCTGAAACATGTATTATGTTACTTATCCTTATTTTTGGTAATTTTACTTTTGTGTCATTTCATAGTTATACTTCTATTTTTATTTATCATTAATTTTATCTGAAAAAAGATTCAGTTTTAAGTAATGGAGTTTTTATGAATGAAAAACATTAACAAAAGTATGTATATATTTGTTTTCACTATATATGCAATATTTAAACATTTATTTTTTTTTAGTGTTCACATGCCTCTTATCACTTGATGCATTTGCATTTTGATTTGAAGTGGATTCTTCTCACGTCTCTGCAAGCTATGTCAAAAGCAAGCTTCAAAATCGGAAATGAAACTGGTATCACCGATGAAATAGATTCTGAATATGTTTCTAACCAGGCTGAATCAATGATAACTGAACTTTTAGAATTATCTATCAAACGTTTTGAGAAGGTTTAAATCATTATATTATTTTACTTTATTTTTCTTTTATTGTATCCAATAAATTTTTACATCAAAACATGTTGGACTGTTTAAAATGAAAATCACCTTAATATTTATCTCTTCAGTTCTTCAACGAGATTTTATTTGGAAAATATACTAGTAACTACGATTCTTTATAATCATAATTATTTGAGTAACTATAATTATAACTTATTTTCCTTAAAACCTAAAGATTAACTCTCATATATCTTTTCACTACGACATGATCGTCTGGTTATTGCAAAATTTATAATCGATTTGATAATCAAAAGGTGTTAATGAGGACTTTTCACCTTCTTCATTAAGTTTTATAATAACATATACAAAATTAAACAAATGTTTGGGTTATTCAACTGATTGATACAAATTCATGTCTCAAGGAGATTGTGGATTTTGTGTTAAAATTTCTTGTATGTAGCCAACTAATAATAGTTGTATCTAGGCACTTTCAGCTTGGAGTTCAATTAGTTTCATCTCAAGGACCTTCTACACAGTTACGCTTCTTGGTCCGTTTCTTGTCAAATATGACTATATAAAAGATTTTCATTGGACCACAGAACCAAATTAATCAACATGTTAGCAATTTTTTATGAAAATATAGCAGTGTTCTTTGCATTCTGGAAACATACTCTTCACTTCCTTAATATTTACCCCCTTTGACTATTCCTCTAAGGTATATGTGAGCGTTTCTGCGGATCTTGAGGTGAAACTAAAACGTTTGGTAAATTGCTTTGTATGATTTATCTTCGAGATCCTGAAGGACGTCTCTTTCCCAGTTTTTATGGAGGGTTGAAATAGCTTTATCCTTTCTACCATCATAAATATTTCCTGGCATCCTTCCTCTTCTAAGTCATCCAATTCTGTCGTCCTTCGTACATTTCCGATCTCATCCATTTCAAATCCTCTGTTCACTCCCCCAAAACCCATTCTGGTCTTCAGATTTATATACAAGGCCCTGCCTGAAGGGGCATATATGAAGGCTGCTTTCACAGTCATCATGCGGATAGTGATTTTTATGAATTGCTTTCCACCTCTGGCTTATGATTGTTTTGTTAATAGTTTTGCACTCATTCAATCTAGAGATGCTGCTAATTTGGGGGAGCAATTTATTTTAATAGTACCTAATGGTTATGATTTTAAATATGAATAATTTCATAATTGTCTGTATTGCAACTATAAATAATAAATTTATATTTATTTTTAGCTTGGAATCACTCAGTTAAGGTTCAAGTCACCATTTGGTTGTAGTTGTGTTCAAGAGTTATGGCTTCTAATTATAAAATTTTGTAACAATATTCTTCTTGAAGAAAATGGAAAAGTAAGTAGTTTTATTTTCTTAAATATTATTTTTATAATTTTTTTTAATTTATATAATTATAATTTTTATAATTATTTTATAATTTCTTAAATATTAAATATAATTACTTTTATTTTAAGTATATATTGTACTTGATATGTGATATAAATTCTTTATTATATAAAACATTTCTTACTGATATAGACGATTTCTCAATGACGATTGCTGTTGACCTTAGAATATAATTTTTACTTTTAGTAAAATTATAACAATTTACTGTTAATTTAAAACAATCTAATTAAATTTGAGTTTGGAGTCTAAGAGCTCTCAACCTAGTATTCAGAATGTTAATTGAAATTGTATTGTATTTTTAATTCTATTTTAACTTTAATGATATTTGTAATTGTTTCTATTTCTTTTTCTTTTTAGGGATTTTGGGATATTATCAACACTTTTTTAGATGTTAACACACAGTTAAAAAGAGATGAAGGTGAAGTTTCTGATACTTTGCTTACTTTTTTCAAAAATAACATTTCAAAATCGACTATATTTTCACTGTGGTTCTTACATCATATCGCCAGATTAAGTAATTACACAGGAGAGGTTAGTTATTTATTTTAGCAAACAATTGTGATTTTTAGTTCCTTATTTTTTATTTATTTTTAAAATTGCTATTTAATTTTTTTTATTTCAGACTTCCTCTAGTTATCCTCTTCTAGAATCTAATTTAAAATTTATGTTTAATCAAGATATAAATGAAAGTAATTTAAGGATCTGTATGTTTTTCATCGAGAAATTATGCCTTGAAATTTGGGAACCTAAACCCCAAACTGTGCTTATACTTTGGGAATACTTTTACAAGAATATAAACAATTCTTTCTATATACCTGGTGCACCACCGAATACAATAGCCTTTATGAGGTATGATTTAAATTGTATTTTTATTTACTAATTAAGTAATATATGTTTTAACTTAACCGTTTCACTGGCAGTGATCGTACTTGTCCCAATTACCTAAAAGCAGGAATTTGCTCTTAAAAATAACGTAGTTACATTCCTATATGTGTCAGAAGGGGCAGAAAAGTGCCCAAATTTTGATTTAGCTGGGATAAAGATAGTCATAGCTTATTTAAGTTAGCACCAATAGTGACAAATGTACTACATATTTGAAAATTCTCTTCAGTTTATTAAAAGTGAAAAACAGAAAGTTCTCTTTAATATTAATATTTCAGGTACTGACAATTTTTATTCCAATTTACATATTCGCTGAGACAATATTCATAATTATGAGAACGAATTTGTCCCAAAAAATTTTTTCAATACTTTTTTTTTGTACTAAACACATTAATGATCAGTTGCACCAACCGTTTTTAACTTAAATTTTATTAACTTTGATTAATTAATCAGCAATTAACTACATTTTCATTGCACCAACCTTGATTAGCCTTTAAACCCGGTCAAATAAATAAGGTTAGCTAATCGGTCCTGAGACCACTGTTAAATTTGTAATCAGTGTTTATGTGTGACCTTATCTATGGTTACTTCTAAGTAAACAAAAATCATTCGATTTCAATTTAACAGAATCAATTGTCTTACGGTATACTGAATTTTATTGTTACTGGAAATGGTGTTTTGTTTTGTCTGCAAGAAATCGATAAAAAATTGAAGAAAATTCATCACCAGATGATAGTTATTATAACCTGTTAACCTGGTTACTAAAAAAGACTAATATGGAGTCTAGAAATCCATAGAATATAGCAGAACCCGAAAACACAGCATTTTGGGCGTTTTAAAAAGTGATCCAGGGGGGCACCAAAGTAAAAAACTTGAATTTTGTATCTCAGTCATATCCCATACAAGAAAATAAAAAGAAACCTTCTATCCCCGTTCAATGCAACTTACGATGTACAAGGTAACTGGGCTAAGTGCTTAAACAAATAAAAACACCCACAATAAAAGTTAAATAAATTTAAGGCCCCTTTATCACTTAAACTAAAAGGAATTCATGGAACTTAATTGGCTGTTTTAATTAAATAAATAATTAAAACATATAGTTTCAGAAGAAAATGGTTAGTGACAGAATAGGTATAAACTTAATATATTAGGAAGGTGGGAAAAACAAATGGTAATTAATTGTTTTAAATGGTTTATTGTATTGTCTATAATTTGTACTTTCATTTCCATATTTATAAAAATACCTATTTCTTGTCAAATTAGGGTGGTAAGTGAAAGTTGTGTGATGCACGCTCTGCACCAGATTTTTATTTTGAAAAGTTTTATTATTTTATTTTTGTAAAACCAATATTCTTTAATGTTTTAGCAAAACTGCAGCTGGACTTGTTGAACAATCACATTCTTTTCTGAATGATATTAATAATGTATCCGACACCTTTCAACATTTTCTTAGAATTTTAGGTATACCTTTTTTGTTTTGATTTCTTATTTAGAGTTAAACTGACTTTGAGATTTATCTGTTTGATATTTATAGACATACTTTAATATCTTAATTTTATTTTCAAAGGTTTGCATTTACAAAAGACAAAAGACACTCCAAGGAGTTGGAACCTTTTGAAAGGAAGGCTATATTCAAAATTGTCTTTAGCTAAATATGAAAGTCTTTCGCAAGTTGGAGAGTATCATTTCGTTTCTCTGTTTCTTACCGTGGCTATAGCTCAGGACGTTGTTCAAATTGTAAGTTATAATTTATATTTTTTGAAAATATTTTATTACATTTTTTATTCTATTTTTAAAATAAGATACATTTAGAGTCCCCTTCTCCACCGATGATATTGTTTTTTGCTTACACCGGAACCTAAAATTCTCCAAATGATGATAAATTGAGTAGCGTAGTATAGTAGTTTATGGAATTTGTCAGTTAATATGTAAAAAACTAAAGTTATATTATTTCGAAAATGGAAGCACATCATTTGGAAATTGTAAATTATTACAAATATCTGGGAATAGGCCTGACTTCTCTATACAACCTGAAAACTCATTATTTAAATAAGTTAAACATCTCAATATTTGCGCTTAATACATCTTATAATAGCATATTAAAAAATAATGAAATATCATTATCAAGCAAGTTATATGTTTATAATGCTGCCGTATGATCAATAATTTGTTATTACCAAGTCTGGGGATATCATAGTTTTGAAAAAAAAAAAAAAGAAATATATTATTCATAAAAAAACTGTTTTCACTTCCTACTAATTCACCTCATTCTATTTTATATTTGGAATCCAATTTTAAACTGATATACTTTGTCATTACATTTGCAATATGTACAAAGGGTACTTTCTCTTTATCAGTATGAAGATTACCGAACATTTTGGCTAAAGAAATAATAAAACAGAAAATATTTTAGCACAAAGAAAACACTGAGCTCTGTCTTAGAATTAATATCACAATAGAATACACTAGTGATAAAATAATTTCCCATATTTTTAGAATGTATATGAAATAAATCTTTCTTTCTATCTTCTATCTATCTTTAGTCCCCTTCTCGAAAATAAAGCTTTGGATAAAGAAGGTAGATCAGACAGTGTTGCCAGATGCTGGTGGGCAGGGTAGCTATGAGCTGATTTTTCTTGAGATAGTTGACTATCATGAATACCCACCATTGGCAACACTGCTCCTCTCTCATCCCCATTCGCTCTTTAAGTTTGTTTCTGTCTTAATTATTCTACATTTAATTCTCCATGATACTGCTATTTGCCGTATCTTTAAATTTGACCTGGCTTGATCAAGGATTTTATAATTATTTTTATCATTAAGGATTTTATAATTTTCCTTTACTTTTATTAGAAATTATGAATTGAACATGTTCTATTCACTGAAACTCATTGTAACAAAAACAAGTTGAGTCAACAATCAAATAAAATAAAATAAAAGATTTGGCACCGATTGTGCAAAGGCACCAAAAATTGTACTTTTAATCAAAAACCATTGCAGAATTACTTAGCTCTCACCTTCTAACCCAAAATTTAAATATTAGAATTTACAAAATTATTATACCTCCTACGTATGCGAAACATGGATACTTTCATTAAGGGATAAACAATGCATTAGGTTATTTGAAAATAAAGTATTGTACAAATATTTGGAACAAAGGACGAGTTAACCGGAAAATTTTTATCGCCATGCAATACCAAATTTCGTGCACCTGATGAATATAATTTAGATGATAGATTTGCAATGATTAAAATAGGACATGTCAATTTGTTGGGCCTAGGGATGAAAAGGTGGGAGGATTGCAATAAGGCTGACCGTGTGGAGTTGGGTTTGGATAACAGTCAGTAAATGGAAGTATGTAGAGAGTTTAGTGATATGGGCATAGAACCTTTGGGGTTGCTAAGCCCTTATTATTATAAATTAGTTTACTTGTTCATATTAACTACAGCAATATATTTATAAGAATGAATAGTTTAAATCTGTTATTCTACTTTTTATAGGAATCAAAAATGAATGAAATAGTCAATGCTTACTTAAATAAAAATAATTGCCTCAATGAAAGGCTCCTCAAAGGACAATTAGCAATGGTGATTCTTCTGTTGGGAGTAGAAAAGGACATATCTTGTGCACTCCAACCAGTGGCCAACTACATTTCTTCTTTAAACATTAATGAGGAAATAGAAAGTATTAGAATGTACGTGGAGTCATTAAGGGAAATCTTAAATATGGACCAGCCTCTGACATTTGGACAGCATTTGCTTATTGGTAATTTATTTAATTTACAACAATATAATCAACAAAGTTATATTAAAAGCCGAAATATACTGGTTTCCTTTGTATTTAATTGGTTTTATATGGTTGATTATAATTTTGAAATTTATTTATTTCCATCTGTGATCTTTTAAAAATCCCATTTGATAATTTTAATCCTCTTACTATTACGTAAATCTTTCTTTCATTACCTGTGACCACCAATTTATTAGATACATTTTTAGTGTTTAAAGGAAAACCTTTATAACTTAAAGATTAAATTTCATCCCTGCTAAAATTCGATGCTCATAAATTCCTACATGACCCAAGCCGAAGGCCAAGTTCCCACTTTTTTTACGTGTGCTTTATCAAATTTCTTAAACGTCATAGTAAGATTTTGATAACTGAGAAGAAATGTTAAGTGCCAAGGCAGTGGATGTGAGCATGAGCGAAAAAAAGATAGATTACCAAGAGATGTAGCTTACCACCAAACACCTTATCAACAATTCAAAAAAATAAAAGTATGACTGAATGATTAACTAACTAAGAGATTAATACCATTTAGAAATATAGAGGTTAAAACTAAAATTATACAAGTAGGATAACTATATCAGAATGGACAAAATAATGTAAATTTTCACCTTCATTAGGACAATCTGATCCTTCCTATTAATCTAACCATTTTTTCTATGTATTTATTTTGTTTTAATCTTACCTTACTGATTCTCAACAAACATAATCAATTGAAATTACCATAAAATGTCTATCATGAAAAATTATTTTAATAATTCATTTTATTTTCAGATAACTGGATTTCTAGTTACCTCTGTTTTTCATCTGATAATGATATATCCAGATTTTTGGATATATTGATTGGACTATTGATCAAATTGAAGAAATCATGTAATTTTGAATCTCCAGGTGAGTTAACATAAATAAATAATAAATAAATTAAAAATAAATAGCTAATAGTAATTTTCTTATTGTTTTAGAAAAAAATGTTTTCTCATAAATTTAAATAATTTAGTCAAATTAGGAGAAACTTGGGTAAAGAATATAATGTGTGAATTCTCACATATATTCATATAGGGTAAGCTCAACACTGATGGACACAGCTAAGGAATTTTTGTGTTTTTTGGCTTATGTTGCCGTAATTATTATAATTATAAACTTCTCCGTTGGACATTTAGAATATCTAGGGTCTCCTGTTTCTATTTAACACTTTAAAATTGAAAAAATATTCAGTTATTCAAGTATAATCACCATTAAAAAAAAAAACACCTTTTTGCACTAGTGATGGACATACCTCAGAAAAATCCTAAAATGTTTATTTAACTATAAAGATAAGAAAACATAAATGTTCAACTTACTCTTAGCAAAACTGTTAGTAGGAAGAAATGAAACACAATGATCTCAAGAGCACTATAGAAACAACAATGATAGGCATTCCAAAATTTTCTTTTGGGAACTTTGTTCATACAATTGTCAATAGATAGCATTTTCCTTCAATCTATAAAAAAAATGAACCTTTAAATCAATAAGAAAACTTATTATTTACATTTAAAGTCCAATTCGTTCATCACTGGGCCTCCTGTTGGTAACTGGTGCGTTCTCCCTAGTACTAAAGAATGGATAAAATGTATTTTTCAGTTAGTAATTATTTTAATTTTTATTGAGCTTAGAAATACAAGTATCTCAGGTTCATAGAATATTTTTACTTCCCAATATTGTTATTCTTTTTACTAAATATCTTTTTTTCAGTTTCTTCCCTGAATCAGGGGATTGACATTTATTTTGTTTTAAGTAAGCTTTTATAATCTTGAAAAATTGAGTATCTTTCTCCATTTGGCAGTGAAGAGTAAAAAATTATAAATAGATTTTTCAAATGTTTTAAAAAATATTTTTAAATTGTTAAAATTAAAGCCTCCACAAGATTTTCAACATACAAAAAAAAAATTAATATATCTGTGATATCTAAAAAATGGATAATAGTCACCAGAAGTTATCATAAGTAAATCTTCAAATTTCTTATAAAATATTTTTAAAAATTGTTGAATTAGCCTGGAAGGAAATCTGAATGATACTAAAAATGAAAAAAAATAAGCAAATTATCGAAAAATGCTTTATTATTTTCAAATAGTTATGTATCAAATATGTGCAGTGTGTCACACTACTTTCTCTACCAGTCCAGAAAAATTGTTCAAAAGCTGCTTCAATTTTTTAAAAATTTGTACTAAACCTATATACAATTAAATTAATTTTCAAATTATAATCTCGAGTGCAGTGTAATGTTTTTGAGTTATCTAAAACCAAAACACAGGATATCATCTTTGCATTAAAACATATATTAAAAATTTCAGATACCATATCTCTGCATCAACAACTTCGATTTTGTTGATTTTTTGTTTTAAATTTTTTGCCACAATTTTGAAATGTAATGGCAGATGGTAATTTCAAGATGGTAGGATCATCCTTGGTGATCTCAGAGTTTAATAACAAATCTCAAAACAATCAATTCAGTACTGTAGTAGAAAAGTCGTGAGAACGGACAAGATTTTCTTATTTCATAATCGGATTCCACGATTCTTAAATATAATACCTCAAATTCTGAGGTAGGGTTAACTTTATTTCTTGATTGATTTCAGTGTTTCATTATTGAAAATAATGAACCAATATGATAAAAATGCTAGCATAAAAATTAAAGATTTTTTAATTTCAAATTTAATTTTTTTAATATAATCATGTTAAAAGATTTTTTTTTTAAATGAACTATAGACCTAAACATAGTTCAATTAAAATTATAGAAGTTGAAACCAGTGAATCTTTTGAAATTTTATTACTAATAAAATACTTGAAAAAATATTTTAATAATATAAATTATCTTAGGAAGTCTTATTAACATTGCTTATTATTAACATGATTACAAAATCGTGATTTATATTTCTTCTAAATAAAATTGATTTTATTAAATGTATTTTACTTGATTTATTACCTTAATATTTTGAATTGAGTTTGTCTGTCTGTAATACTTTTTACTGTTAGGAATCATGAGTTCTAGTTCATTGAAAATGCTGACCACTAATTACCTAGTTTAGTTCTTGCATATAAGCAATTTTTGGTGTTAGATAATTTTTAAAATATGATCATTTTTTTTTAATCCTTGGTATTATTTGTTAATTTAAAAGTCATAAACCAATTAAAAAATTAAACTTGCTTATTATTAACTTTTTTTTTGTAACTAGGGTATTATGAAATTTTAGATAGTTATATTCTTGAATTATTTCACCTTTTAGCTATTTTGTTAGAGTATTGAAAATACAATTTTTTACATAAAATCAATTTTTTCTTATTGTATGCAAGAATATGATAAATAAACATTATAGATATTTATCACAAAAGTATCTGTAGTGTATATAATTAATCTGGTTTGTTTACCAAACTTTGGGCCATTGTTTTGATTGACATATTGAAGATCTTTTTCTTCAAGTGAGAAATAAATAGTCAGATCCACTCAAAATTTCAGGGGGAAAAGTTATGAAGGAAAAGAGAGTTTATTTGCGAATAACTCAAAAATTATATATATTTTTTCTCAATTGTACCCATGATTATTTAATAAGATAACTAAATTCCATGCGATATGAGAAAAAATAATATATATCACTTTTGTTAGATGAGATACCTACTATTGTTATTCGTAAATATTTTGGTTTGAAACATGAAGGAGAGAGAAACACTTTATTTTCATCTAAAATATAAAAGCTTGCTGCCCAATTATATTGTGTTGCAGGACACACAGCATACTGATTAATCTTTATTCACAGAGAACACCAGTTTTTTTCTATTTCATTTGTCATTTTTAAAACTTCTCTCTTTATTTATTGACAAGTTATTTTATACAGTTTCATCATTAATTATTTGTCATCGTTTTGTATTTCAGACCAACGGGAGATATTAATAATGGAGAAGCTTTGGGAACAATTAAATGGGTATATTGTAAGTGTAACATCTCTACCGACTTTGCCCCACCAGATCTCTGACATTGCTGGTGAACTGGCAAATGTCTCATTATTAGTCGGCAACAAAACTAGGTTTATAGAAACTGTTAATATGTTCACATCCAAAAATATTTCTGATATTAGGTTTGTACCTTATTTTTTTATTTTATTTAATTAATTATTTATAAAATAATCGTGTTTAATTTTTTGTGTTGCAGTATTTTGAGGAGGTTTATTTGTAATGTAATGAAGACGGAAACTGCTAGGGCTTATTTGCCACAGTGTGACAAAATCATTCTGAAGGTAGCCTTTTATTTCAATAATTGTAGGTGAATGAAACTTTTTAGTTTTACCCATTTTTTTCAACTGAATGTCAGTTATCTGTCAACATTTTGAAGCCATGCCTCATATTTAGAATCTATAACATTTACATCAATTATATTATTATTAATGAATAAGCATATATATGATAACTATACTCAAATGTATATAGTGTGTATATGTTTGCACACACACATACAAAATAGTCTTTATTAATTAAATAAGTTAAAAACTCCACCATCGCATGTATTCCTGCCCTTGAGAAAGAAATTAAAATCATTAAATTTAAGCCTAATGTTTCCATATAAAATATTTTAAACTAGGTGAGATATATTTTGTGAGAAATTTTTAAGATTTTTCAAAAGAGCACCTTCTATATTGGATTTTTAGGCTGCAAAATTCCAATCCATTGAACAAAAAAAATCTTTTTCTTGTTCTGAAGTCATGTCGTAATTTTCTCAACTAGAAATCTTAATGTCTATATGAATCATTGTATTATTTAGGTTTGTTACATTTGAATTTTGAAAATATCTGTTTTACAAATATTTAAAATTTTTTTTTTTTAATTGTCTTGTAACATTAGATTTTTTTTTTTTTTTTATAATACTCAAAATGAAATTTATGAAAATTTTGTAGACTGTTTTTGGTTAAATCATTTGTTATCTTAATATAAAATAATCTATTAATGAAATTATGCATTATAAGAAACATAACATTTTTAATTATAATAATTTTTGCAGACTTGGATCCAGTGCTGTTTCATGTGTCCGGATGTTGAACATGCCGAAATGCAGGAACTGACGAGAGCTGCTTTGAAGCTTCCTGAAATTTATCTCTTCCTCGGCACAGGAGTTGATGAATTAATAAATTCTAAAGATCCCCTTCTAGATTTTCTTTTGGGGTTACACTGCAAATATATTGAAGAGGTAATTAAGGGGTTACAATACAGAGGACAAGATTAAAAAAAAAAAAATTAATATGATTTATAATCAGGGACGGAATTTTTATGTAACTGCACTTAGTTTATTTTTACAGCGTAGAGACCGACCTCGGAAGAATCAGAGAATTTTCAATACAGAAATAAATAAGTCAGGGAAAAATTGTTAAAACCAGAGAATTTTTTTAGTACAAAAATATATTTTTCAAATTGGAAGTAAATATACAGTGGATATTATTTGTAATGACCTTGAAGGGGTAAATTTCGTCAGTATAAACGACCACACTTGCTGTATTTATCGACCTTTGATTGTCAATATATGTTGTTATATTGAAATTAAAGAAGAATAATGAATACAATTTAAGCAAAATTGACTTTAAAAAGTACTTTTTGAAAAGAAAACATACCAATATTATTACTATTTGTAATATATGCATCTGGGTCAAGACCTGTCTGGCAAGCACTCATTTGTTCAACCCGTGGTGCTCGTTAAAAGAGCGTTTATTAACCAGAAATGTCAAAGTTGATATGATATGGATAATTATTATGCTGTTTATAGTAACAACAAACTAAATTATTTATGAGAAACTACATTAATATTAGAATCCACTGTAACTTACTTTTATTTTTTAATAGAGAAAAATCAGAGCTTTATATGTCAAGAATCAACTTTTACCTCCTTTCAGTATATGAAAATAAAATAAAAGTGATATAAGTAAATTACTGAAAGTTTAGTTTTCTAACATAAAAAATCTGATGCACGCAACACACAACTTTCACTTACTCTTTGAACTTAATTCACCTTTGAATAGAAATTATTTTCTGGCCATGTTGGGCTATTATAAAATTTTTGAATTGCATTTTTAACTGAGCTAAAGCTAAAAGATTGCAGCTAACAAATCATAAATACTATTAAAATAACAAAAGTCCTACATCGGATGATTATGGATTGTTCGATCCATTGATTATGGATTGTACGACTATTACTTATTAAACTGTTATTTTCCACTGCAAAGTTTATTAAAACAGAATTAAGAGATTTGCGTTGTCTGTCATAGACAGGTCAAAAGTTGTCACACTAATTATAAGTGGATTCTGTTGGAATATCGCAAAGGGAAAATTTATCAAATTATTCACTAATTTAGTTTCTAAAAGGTTACATGATGATTTTTCGGAATAAACAAACGATAGATACCTAAATATTTAAATATAATCTCAGATCTAGAGTTATTTAACTACAGTAAATATATTTAAGGTTATAAACATATCTAAGAAATATTTTTATATTTCAATTCTTCTTTCACACAAGTACAATGAAATAGTAGTGGATACTGTTGGAATATCACAAAGGGAAGATTCATCAAATTATTCACTAATTTAATTTTCTAAAAAGTTACATGACAATTTTTCAGAATAAACGTTGATATTTAATTATTTAAATATAATATCGGATCTATAATCATTAAACTACAGTAAATGTATTTTAGGTTATATACATATGCTTTATACATCCATGAAATGATTTTATATTTTACTTCTTCTTTCACACAACTACAATGAAATAGTTTTTTTAACAATGCCATTGCCTTGATTAGGTGGATTTTAAATACATTCTACAAACGTAAAAATATTTTTAAAATTTACATTTAGATAATTTTAAAATTTACATTTAGTTATTAAATTTCATTTAATTTCCTTGAAAAAATGTGGTTTATGTTAAATATTATCAGTTTTCAAACATTATTATTTATAATTTTTTTTCCGCTCTCCATTACCTTTTACAACTTTCTATATTAGATATTGTTTTTCTAAAATTCTCCGCTTTCCAATGATATATAAGTATACTTGACTAGTTTTTCTAAAATTCTCCGCTTTCCAATGATATATTATAAGTATACCTTCTGACTTGTATTTCCGAAGATTCATTTTCGACCTGTATAAGCATTTTTATATTTTTCTTCCTTATTAACTTATCAAATTCTTTCAAAAGTTATATTTAATATTTTTTCGTAACTCTAAATAATGTGAGGCAGCGGAAGACACACGGAAGGCACTGAAGGCTTACCTACTCGCCAAAACCTCCCTCTTCCATACTCTACTTTGAGAGTTAAACGAACTCTGAGATTTTACCAGGCCATTTTTTAGATCACCTACTATCTATAAAAAGGATGATATATTACATTTGTCATATTTTTAAAGTTGTTTTAGCTCAGATCAGCGATCACTGTGAGTCGCTGTGGTGGGCAGTACTAGCAAAATATTACCTTAACATGGTTTAAATATGTATCATTTTTCTTAGGATGATATCTTCAAGAAACAAACTCTTCGTGAAAAGTTGTCCATGTATTTTGATGGTCTGGACAAATGTGTTAAACCTTTCATAGCCAACCCCAGAGATGTTGATCAGATCTTAAGGCTCTACACTACTGTCGGCAATATGTTTAGACTTGTTTCACCTCTTCTTTACATGAAGGTTTGGATCTATTAGTACTTAAATATATATTTTTATTATAATTTTTCTCTACTTATTCCAACATTATTATTTTAGTCTAAGCCTAACACCATCTTACAACTGTTTATCGATTTACTTCTACTACCATTAGCTGTAAGAAAACCAGAGGCAAAGATCCATCCTCACATCCTAAGTGCGATCAAACTTACTCTACATTTATTCATCGAAGGTTTATTGCAATTAGGTAATGTTAAAACAAAAGTAATATTTATTTTTACAATTTATTACTTCGTACAATTATTTAATTGCTTTAATGTTTTCTAGATCCTGGAAGTGATCTATACATCGCAAGGATCCTGAAGGAGTTGATAGCAACATACGTTCCACGATGTATGAATGCTCAAAATTATAACTCTATCAACTGCACCAAATTTGTTTTAGTTACTTCATTTGATGTTTTTGATGAACGATCTAGGAGAGTGATAATGAATGCGGTCTGTAACAACTTCTTAAAAAGGAAATCTAGGGTTGCTCATGAATTTGCCTTTTCTGTAAGAATTATATTTAGATTACGAATATTTATAAGAATAGGATATTTTAGAATGTTTAAAATTAAAAAAAAAGGAACTTCGTTAGATAAAATACAAAATAGTTTGGAAATTTTGTTGAGGGCTACTTTTCATCCTTAGATTAGTCAGTATCTACTGAGAAATTTTTCAGATTTTAACAGTTATCTCCTTTAAAAAAGAAAATTCTATTTCAATGTCAACTGTGAAACTCTATTCTCAAATATAGTTGACAGTTCATAGTGTGTATACTTTAGTCCATTACAGTTCTGTCATCAGCCAAGATGTATTTTTTTTTTTTAAATTGATGTAAAAAGTTAATGTAATCTAATTTTATTAATTATTCAATCTTTCCAAATTCTTCCTATGCATAATTTTTAAATTTCAGTTTCATAAAAGCTCATTTAATGAGGAATTAAGTAATGGGTTCATTTAATAAAATATTTCTTTTTGCAAACGTTTGCAACAACTTAATACCAAAATGATTTGCTTTAGAGTTTTTTATTTGTGTGTAAATTTATTTACAACAATTAACAATTGAATTTTTCTATATAAGCATATGTATCGGGAGTAATCAAGAGGATATTGAGAGACTTGCTCGGATTTTGTTAAAAGAAGCAGAGGAAATCGGACTTCAAGTCAATGTAGATAAAAAAAATACATGATATTTAGTTGAAACATCCATCCTAATAACATAAATTGCGTGGATTCTAAGTCATACCTGAAAGTATCAGGACCAGATTCAAATACCTCGGCTCCATAATAACCTCAATAAGCGATCAACTAAGAGAGATAGACTAGCGAATACAGATCTTTCTTCTCTTTTTCAAGGGTACTGAAATCCAGAAAAATTTCTAGAAATCTAAAAATAAGAGTGTACAACTTATTTAAATAGACAATTAGATTTAAATTTATTTTGTGGCATGGGATGTATCTCGACCTCTCCACTGTGGTTAGAATAACTTTGGTTGTACCTCTAGAACAACCCCCCCGTTCCCATATGCTAGAAATGGTGAGGCGTTGAGGGTTATTTGGGAAAAATGAATTTATTTGGCCATTTTCTAATTGTATTTTAACATATATATATACATACATATATGTTTCTAAAAATTATCACAATTATAGTTAACATGAGAAGTTAATCGGGTGGTGCGGTCAAATAAATACTAAATTAAATTATATTAATTATTTTAATTTTTGCCGACGTTTCAGCCCACTTTGCAGGTCGTTGTTTTTCAACTGCCTCCTGCAGTGCTACATCCCACGCCCTGAAGACGACCTACAAAGTGGGTCGAAACGTCGGCAAAAATTAAAATAATTAATATATTTTAATTTAGTATTTATTTGACCTCACCCCCCGATTAACTTCTTCTCATATTATATCAACGGCCAACCATCTCTACATAATTATAGTTAACATTTTCGTAATTGTATTTTAACTAATATATATATTTGTTAAAATTAAGACGTTTAAAAAACTATTTCATTGTACTTGTGTAAAAGATGAAGTGAAATATAAAAATATTTCATGGGCGTATAACGCATATGTTTATAACCTTAAATACGTTTACTGTAGTTTAGTAACTCTAAATCTGATATTATATTTATTCCGAAAAATCGTCACGTAACCTTTTAGAAGATTCGATTAGAGAATAATTTGATAAATTTTCTCTTTGTGAAATCCCAATATTATCTATCCACTTACAATTAGTGTTACAGCTTTTGACCTATGTATGGCAGGCAATAAAAATCTCTTAATTTCATTTTAGTAAACTTTATAGCTCAGAGACTGTGTGGTTTACAAAAACAAATGGAGTAACGAGGTTTTTATTGCATACCGTTGATATAATTAACAGAGTTTTTTTTATTTTAATAGTCTTAATGATTTGTTAGTTGTAAGCTTTAAGCTGTAGCCAGGAAATAGTTTCTATTCAAAGTAGTAAGTGAAAGTTGTGTGTTGCTTGCATTTCATCTTATAAATGAATTAGATCTTCAGATTGTACTTAAGTTCTTTTGATTAATAACTTATTTCGTTTTTTATTTTTGTTTTGATTGAAAAAAATATTTATTGATACAGGCCTTGAAGTTTATAAAAGAAATCGCCAGCCAACATAAAACAAATGAAGATGTAATGAACACTATAATTGCAACTAGCGTAGAAAGAGTATGTGATGTGGTTATGTATTGCGACGACAAAACAAATGTGCACGCCCTGGCCAGGACTGTGTTAAATTTCATTTTGAATAATCAGCTGATCAGAACGAGTAACATGCTAGGGTAAGTAGGGCATTTTATTTACACTCTTGTTAATAATAATTAAAATTATTATAAACTGATAATTATTATTAACATATAATTATATCTTGTTAAATTATTCAATAAAATATTACACAATATCATGAGATTCATCTTTAAGGTTCCCTTGCACTTTCATCTAAGTAAAAACAGCTTTACTCTGTTTTATAACGTCAATATTTCTGTGGTGTTTTATGTTTTAAATTAATTTAGAATAGGATTCTCCATATTTTTTATGGCCCTAATGACTTCTCCGTTAAGTCCTAAGGATCAAAATTATTCCTGAACTGTACAGAACCATTGCAGTAAGTAATCATGAAAGAGCAATGATGGTATAATGAATCAGATAATAAAACTGATCCTTAAAAAATGATGGCTTCTAGATTGGTGATGTCAGATAAGTCCCATCTTGTAAGATGCGAACCTCCTCTATTTGTCTCTTAACTCTATATGGAAGGGAAGGTTAAATTTATACTATCTGTTTATGAGGTTATAAGTTGGCTACCTTGGTATGAAAAGATCATATCTAACAGTTTTGGCTAAAATGAAATCATGGGTGCTTCTGACTCATTTAACCTTGATAATATATTTTTTTTATTTAAATAATTCATAACTTCACTTACCTCTTTTTCACTTTCATTTTTATTAATGTCGTCTGTAATAGTTTTTTTAATTGATTTTGAAATATGTTTTATTTAAATTAGAGGTATAGCATTTTTTTAATTAATCATCTTCATAAGTTAAATTACTTGTAACAAATAGAAATGGTGAGGAATCTATACCGATCCTACTTTGCAGATGGTTTTGGTTTTACAGTTCCTTTATGTGTGCTGTGTTAATTATTTGAAAATACAATAGGAGTGAAAAATTTTCCCATTTAAAAAAGGATATGCCCTAAAAAATTTGTATTAACATTAATATTTATTTTAATTAATAATTTTTATAAAGTTTTATTTTGTTTTTTCAAGAAAGTTTTATTATTTTATCTCTTCACCGAATGACACAATTCAACAGCAGATATTAGATTTAGAAATGCATGATTTTCCTCTTCACATAATACTTGGGAGATAGTATGGCCACTGTGCTCTGAACTTTCATGCCCTGTATGTTTGCCTGCATTTGAACTAGATTTGTTTGACTTACTCATTTTATTATTCCGCATTGCTTTCCACCATATTAAACCTATAATCTTAAAAAAATGTAAGTATAAGTTAGAGAAACCATAGATAACTAGTTGCTATAAAACAATTTGTTTCATTTTTCAGAGATTCACTGATGTCTGTGTTTTCATCACTATGTCATGAACACCTTGCGTGGTCTTCACGGCAGTTATTTGAACTCTTCACTTTGATTTCCTCTGAAGCACCTGATCTGGTGAAGAGATTCGTCCCGATCTTGCATGAACAAATCAAGGAAGTTGAGACCAAGAGAGGAGTAGGTTACGATAGGATGCTTAGGTATTCAATTTTTCCTCTTTGTACATCATTTTGAGTATTTGGTTTGGTATAATGTAAAATTTCAGTTTATGAGATAATATTCTTATGATTTTCAGACAGTTTTGATAAATAACAATAAATTTAACAATTTATTAATTATTGTTATGAATAATTTATGGTTTAAATTACAATTCTTACAAGGAGAGTTTGTAGTTTATACAAATATAGCACTTGATCATTTCCCAATAAGAGGTGTGTTCAAAACGTTTTAGGATTTTCATTTTTTGCAAACAATATTTTTTATTCATCTTCAACAATGTCAATATGACAATATTAGCTAAAAAGCGATCCCCATCCGTACATATATTATTACAGCAAGGCTCGAAATCAGTTTTGTACCAAATATAAGCTCCTGTCATGCTCAAATACCACAAATGGGATACCGTTGGATTCAGAATTTCACGTGGGGTTAACAGTTAGCGAATTGTATTCTCCACTGTTGTTTTTCTTTCTAAAATAAATAAAGTAGATACAAACATTTTGCTAGGCTTCGATACTGGAACGGTGGTAGGTCTGTAGATCGATACGGGACAAATTGGATCTTAAAGATTTTGATGCGTACAGCAAGACCCGGGTTATGCCCATAATTATATGAAAGATTACTAAATTCCCTACAAAAGGAAAAAAAAACAATCGCAATTGGACAATTTTTAGCAAATATACAGCTTACTGAAATTTGTATACATGTTGGTTCCAAACAAAAATGAAGATTTAAATTAATTTTTGTTTGCTTTGTGGATTATATTTATCGATAAAGTAACATTTGATGTCTTAATCTTTTGATAAGTTGGATTTTCTTATTAATTTGGCATTTGATAACATATGCTGTGCGAATTTTTCGCACGGGCCTACTAGTTAGATATTATATTCCATAGGTGGGGAATCTGCGCCTTCAAGGCCGTATGTGGCCTCTGTGATGGAGCTGTGGCCTCCAAATGTTTTTTGGGGATATTTATTAATCTAGAACTAGAATTAATTAATATTTAATTATTTAGGTTACAAAAAATTGAAAATTAATAGAATTAAGTTGAATATATGGAGATATGGGTGTGTGAATTTAGTGACAATTAAAAATAGCAACAGTGAGTTATAAAAAAAAACTATGGTCCGTGCTTAAGATAGAAGTGAAAACATCAACAAGGCGGACTTAATAATATAAAATTTAAACGAGGAGTTAGTCGAGGGTGCGGTCAAATAAATAATAAATTAAAATATATTAATTATTTTAATTTTTGCTGACGTTTTGACCCACTTTGCAGGTCCTCTTCAGGGCTACAAAAGATACAAAACATGTTTTGTAGCCCTGAAGAGGACCTGCAAAGTGGGTCGAAACGTCGGCAAAAATTAAAATAATTAATTTATTTTAATTTATTATTTATTTGACCGCACCCTCGACTAACTCCTTCTCATATTATATCAACGGTCAACCATCTCTACATCATAAAATTTAAACATTTTTTTGTTCTATATTCATGAAGTTATAAAATATACAATATATTGTAATATCCCTTATATTTTAAACTAATAATGACTCCTGGAAGATCACTTCAATACTGTAGGGATACTTCCAAAATAAATAAGAGGTTGTTAAATAATAAACAAAATTATAAGAGTATTGATCTTTCAAACTGAACTTTATAATTATTTTATCTCAGGTATGGGTTACTGACAATCAGATGAAAAGACTCAGACAGACTAACATTAACTACATTAAACACTGTTTGATTTTAAAATTATGTCAAGTATAATATGGTAAGCTAACCTTAAATAAGTGAAAAAAAGTAATTGGCGATATTTTAGTAAAAAAAAAATGTGTCCAACATGTTTGATATTATGTCCATAATTGAATTGAGAATTATGGGTATAACATAACGAGCATCATTATTTTAATCTTTACAGATGACTTGAAAATGGGAGTATAGCCGAAATGTTGCCATTGTAGAAAAGAATAAAGAAATAATGAATAAATACATATAGCCCAAAGCTTTTATTGTGAATTATAATTTTACCTTAAACAAATATATATAGAAGCTAGATAAATCAATATATAACAAGTTTTAAATTTATTTATGATACCATCTTGACTGACCCTCCCCCTTTTCTAAATGAACTATAATTATCTGAAATTACAATATATGATACATTTTTTTTCTTTTGTTTTTCAGGTTGGGTCTCGAAAAAATAGAAATGAAATTAAGAGCTATCAAGAATAGTATTTAGTATTGATTTATTTTAAATTGTATTCATCACCTTAAAAGGCTGTGATATGTTTTAACTGAGCATTACTACTTATTTTATTGTAAAAAAAATTGTTTTAAAATCGAATTGTTATTATTGATTGATTGGAAGAAACAGTTCTCAAAGATAATGTAATACTTCATCAATTTATTTTTATATATAGAAGTGTATAGACATGTGTATATATGTAATATTTATGCAAAGTAAATTTTATTCTTATTATTATAATTGTAGATTTATTCAAGGTGTTCCCTTATATTCAGACAATGGCTTATGTTAAATTTTCAAATAATTTTATATTATCTTATGATTTAGTTTAAAGAAATAAAATTTGAACCATTATAACTCTTATAGGGTCTTGGGTTCAGTGCTTTGTAAAGAAGTACTGTTTCAAGACTAATGGTTGTGCGGGCAGATGGTTGGAGAAAGGTGAGGTTCAACAGCCAAATTTTCCGTCTGTCCTCCTCCTAGTACTTCTTTATAAATAATAAATAATAATAATAAGGCTTAGCGAACCCGAAGGTTTGATGCCGACACCACCAATCGCTTGTTACACACCTCCCTCCACCATTCGCCGTTCAAACCCAGTCCCTTCAGATCGGCTTTAATGCAATCTTCCCACCTTCGCTTCGGTCTACCCCTCGGACGGTTACCATTCGGCACAGCAAATATTAACCTTTTAGGAATTCTCTCGTTACTAAGCCCAACAACTTTACAAGCCCATTTGATTCGCCGCGATGAAATTACCTCAATTATATTACCCGGATAAAACTAGTACTTCTTTATGGAGCAGAAAATTGAATTATGAATGAGAGACTTCTGAGCCGTAATACTGCCTTGAAATGAAGTTCCTTAGGAGAATTGTGGGCATGGACTGTATTCAGAATGAGAGGATTAGGGAAGAGCTAAATGTAGGTCCGGTAACAGAAATCCTAGAGAAGAGGAAACTGAGATGATATATTTACCACATGGGCCATCACATAAACCCAATCAAAACCATGAAGGTTAGACCAATGGAAAGAAGACCAAAAAAAGGGTCAAGAACCTCCAATCACAATAGGGTGTTCCAGATGGATGATGGGAGAAATGAGAAATCTTGCCAGAGAAAACAAAACATAGCTCCGATGACTAGAAGCATCCCAATGCTGATAAGCAAAAGGGTTGAAGAAAAAGAATTAGCTATAATTACATCCTATGGATGTGGAACATTTTGTTTGGCATCAGGGGGTCTTAAAAATCAAGTATTTTTAATGAAAACAATAGAAATTTTTCATGACAGCAATACTTTCTCTTACTATAAGTTTCATATACAGTTAAGTATGAGGGCGGGGTGGCCGATTGGGCTAACACATGTGCACAGCACCGCCGTAGCCCGGCAACATGATATATGATATCGCCGGTGCAGGGGAAATCTTTTAAATCTCCGCCCCCATCCTCTGGCCCAGGAAAACCCTGTATAGCCTTAAAAGCAAGGATCCAAAAAAAAAGTTATGTAAGCAAAGAAAATAATTTTTCATTTTACTTAAGGATTTTTTTTAAAAATAATTTAGTGGGTTCACACAATCATAAACATGTTTTTGTACCTTAGCAGTCTTTATATTAATTTGTAGGTGGCCTGCATTATCTTCTATTAATTTAATGGAGAAAAAATACTTCATAATAAAAGTAAGTAATTAAAAATAAAAGGGAATGAAACTGAAAAAAATATGTTAAACACTAACAAACTATATTTTTTATTTCTATATACAATTTCGTACTTAAAATATCAATTATATACAGAACAGATCAACACTTCTGGATCATTATTAATTCATTTATTCGATGCACTTTTCTCTTTTTTTTTCAACAACTATATTATCTGTTTTGTATAAGCTGGTAACAATCACCTGAAAATGAAATTATTATGAGAAAATGCAGTAAAAACAACAATGATAAAAATATATTCAACGAGAATAAAATAAGTTACATTAAATAACTGAAATATATACTGCATAATTAAAGGTAATTACAAATCAATAAATTATACTTATTTATTTTGATTTATTGTTTTCATTAATATACATTAGTAATTGATCAAGAAAGAAAATATGATGTGATGTATCACGTAACATTCACTTACCACCTTACATTCAGTTTAATTTTGTTTAAAGTTAATAAACCTTAAGAAAATCACTTTAATTATAAATACAACCATAAGACAATTAATATAAATTAGTGTTTGCCAAGTGGTCGAAATTCAACAATAATCCTAATAGAAAATTTGAAGCATAAATGGATTTGCACCTTTTCAACTTATTTTTATATATTTCTAAATTCACTTTTATATGTATTTATAAAAGAAAACAGTGAAGTACTTTTTGGAAGTACTTTACTTTTTTTCAGCCTCTTTTCAGGAAAAATATGTTGAATAAATAAATTAAAAGGACTTCAAGAAGAAGACTTCAGCCAAGTATCATTAAAATCATTACAGCCGTTTTGGCACTATAGTCAATAGCAATTCACTTTTTCAGCCAATATTTCTAAAAGGAAGACTGGATGTTAATGAAATGTATATAAAAACACTTCTGAATTTGATTGCAATGTTTTATCGGAATTTCAAAGCAATCGGTAAAGAACTTTCAGAGATTGTTGGTTTTGGACAAACTAATGTTTACATTATTTTTTTTATATATTTATTTTTTATTGACAGCACTGAAGCTCGTCAATAGCTATAGAATAAAAAAAGAACATCGTTGAGAAACAGAGGAGAAAAAGCGAATGTTTTGCATTTGCCTATTTTTATAATGATTATGACAATTCTGTGCACTACATATTTTTGATTTATCTAACTCAACAAAAAAAAAAAATTCCATACATACCCAACACAAAATTTCATTTAGTTTCTATTTATTTCGTTTATTTCTGATTCAATAATATAAAAGTAAGTACTCATTATTTACAAAATTATTACGGTGTAAAAGGGATTTTGAGAATAGCTGAAGATTGATACGTGCTCACAGCACAGACTCCCTTTATTTATATTGTGATTTATGACCAAGCAACACCCTACTGTTCCTTATCAGTTAAAATCAGGACTTTAATAACATTGCTACTTTCGACTCCTGTTCACTACACTGACTTAAAAGAGATATACAAATTTCAAACGAGTCCTTCTAAGTTGAGGTTGAGGCCTAACCAAACAGTTCGGTTACTTCTAAAAGTAGTAGCACACTCAGTCATTCTCGGTATTCCATCTATGGTATAATCAAGGATCTTGTGCCACTTATGAAAGTGGAGTAACACTTGTAATGCAGTACCCACTTTTAGGATACTGCATAATGATTTACAGCATTTTTTTTTATATGATGACAAGTAAAAAATAGATACCAGGATCCTAGAAAAGAAACTAAGCAGTATGGCTTCAGACCCAACAGAAGTACACAAGATCTGATATTCACTCTAAGACAAATATCGGAAAAGGCCATTGAAAAAGATAAAAAGGTGCTTACCTGTTTCGTCGACCTAACTAAGGCCTTTGACAGAATCAGAAATCGCAACATAGATGAAGTGTTGCATGAGAAGGATGTGAACTTGGTATTGAGGGAGGCTATTAAAAGCCTTTATAAAAACAATAGAACTGTGGTCAGAAAAAGCAACATGACATCCAGAGTTCCGAACTACTGCAGGAATCAGACACGGACCGTAGCCTTAGTCCGCTCCTTTTTATAGTAGTATTGGAAAGAGCCATAAGAAAAGCACAAGAGGAAATGAGGCTGCTACATTTTGGCTACAGCAGATTCCTTCCTATCCACTGGCGGATCCAGGATTTGATTTTGAGAGGGGCTTCAGCCCGAAAGTTTTTTTTTTCATAAAAATAACGATAATTACTTTGGAAAAAAAGAAAGAAACTAACTACCTGTATGAAATGGTGTTTAAGTGATTCCTAAAGCCCTTTTAAATGTAATTAAATGAGCAATAATACTTCAAGAGATACTTTTTAAATATGTTTTTCGATAAAAAATGGTTATATTTTACCATTTTGGAGGGGGGAGCTTCAGCCCAAAAGCCCCTCCCCCCCGTAGATCCGCCCGTGCCCAGTTCAATATGTGGCCGACCTGTTATCTTTGGCAACAATGGAAAGAATCTCCAGTTTAACCTGCAGGTCCTGATAAATGTGACCAAGACACAAATTAGGCATGTCAGAAGAAAGACCAATCAGGGAGACCGTGTCATTAGACTGGATGGAACACACACGTATAGAACAGTTAAGCGATTTCAAATACCTAGGAGCCCACTTGAGCGAAAATGGCTGGGTGGATGGAGATGTAAGAGAGAAGATTAAGGCAGCCAGAAGGTGCTTTAATGCGATTAGGAAAAGATTTTTAGGAAAGAAAGAGATTCCCAAAACCACAAACATAACAGTTTTCAAAAACACTTTTCTACCAATCTTGACATACTCGAATGAGTCTTGGACCTCAACGAGTAAACAAAGCAATGTAGATGCGTTACCTCCATAGGATCAATGATTGAACGAGGAGAGACCAAGTGAGGAATATAATTATGCGATCCAACCTGGGTCTGTAAGATTCAAGAGAAAAAATAAAAGAGTACCAGCTGAGGTGGTTTGGACACTTCTCTCGAATGCTAGAAGACAGAATAGCAAGGCTCTGTTCTGAGACACAGGTGGGAGGTAGAAGATCTAGGGGATGGCCTAGGAATACCTGGGAGAATGGAATAAGAGAAGCCTTTGACCGAAGAGGTATGGATTGGACAAAAAGGAAACAACTGGCACAAGATAGACTTATGGATCAGGCTCTATAAGCGGAAGCCTCACACTGCTTAGCAGTGATGGATGGATTAAGTAACTGGCAAAAATTCAAATAAAAACCTTCAGACTAATATGTAAACTCACCTGTCTCTTGAGCATTTCAAAACTTTTGAGTGCAGAGTTGTATTTAGCTAAAACCTCCTTGCTGTCTGTCAGTCCTTTGTTCATACTGAAACCATCCTTGATCCTTCTTAATGCATAATTCCTAATTAGAAAAAAAATATAAATATCCTAATATTTAAAATGGTATAATTTTCATACAAAAACACTAATTAGACAGGACTAATATAATAATATTTTGTTAGTATAGATCATTATACTTTAAACATATTTATGGGAAAATATAATAGTTGCGTAAATATAAATATTCATGAATGTATGAAAATATTTCATAATTATTTCACACCATCACACTGTATATGGAATCCCAAAAATAACTGAATCTCTGAAAGTATACATAGATGGCTGATCACTATACTTTCCTTACGTGTATATTGGATACATCTCCAGTGATAAGCACTTTTGTTTGATTAAGTTGTGTCAACTAAAAAGGAGCAATTGGGATTGTAAACACTTGGCTTCTTTCAGAATTCTAGCTACAGTATAATTAATGTGATCTTGATCCAACAAACAACTGAAGGTGTGGCACTGATGAATTAGCATTGAATGAGTTAGAAAAAGAAAAATATATTTAACAATGTTACATATTTTAACTTAATTTTTTCTTTTACCCATTACCTGACCATTTCAGGAGATTATTCTACACGTAACCAACCTATGTTAACCAGAGTGCGAGGGTCGGATCCGTAACAAAATAAATCGGAGCCTGCTCAGGCTCAATTTGAACCGGCACCACTAGACTGTAGATAGCTAAGGTGATGAGGCTCTTAACAATCTGCCATAATGGCCTAAATATTTCATTTAAACTGAAAATGGCTATGAATTTATAAAACTTTCAACAATGAAGTCTCCTTAAATACATTTATTTTATTTATAACATAATTGCTTCCTTTGGAAAATTCATTTTTTTTTTTTTTTAATGGATTGTTTAACATTTTAACACAAAAAAAACTTTGTCAATAGATTTGTCATTCACCAAACATCAATCTTTCATCAAATTAAATTGAATAGTGTGTTTATTTATTTTGTTTTTCAGAACTTCAGTGATTTAGTCAGCTGTAACCTCCCTTCATTTGTTCAACAATTTAATTACTAAAGGTTAATTTGGCTCAGTATATTTATAAATTTAATAGAAAAATAAAATGAATTTATGTTTAAATGCTTACATTTAATAAAATATTTACTTGACAAGCCTCTTCAATAAAAAAACAAATAAATAGCTCAATAGCGAAGATATTATTAAAAATCAAACTTCAGGTACCAAAAAACATTCATAATTACAATCCGACCATTTCATTTCTTAGGATAACATTGAGTCGTAATTGGTAACATCGAGTTGGACATAATTATGATGTAAATCTTCACTTTAGAAATAATAATAAAAATTATAATTTAGATGATTCAAACCAAAGAAACAAATATATATTCTAGTAATTACCTGAAATTATAGGCATGGAACTTTTTTGCCTCCCTCATCATATCTCTGTAAAGCTTCAACACTTGCTTCGAGCTTACTGACATTATGGAGATGATTATTGAAAAATTTAGAAATTACTGGTTTATTATCACTAAACCCATGATATAAAGGGCATTACATAAGGTTAGAACAAAAAGGATTTCAATGAAGACTAGGTCAGTTGAACCCGGTTGCCATCAACAAACTAACCTGCTCTAGCATAACTTCTAGCTGATATCTTGCTGTGCTCCCTCAAAAAAATAAAAATAAAAATAGTTATATTAAAGAATTAAAGTAGTAATACGTTTTTCAAGTTACAACTTTAGATAACTATATGTTTAAATAGTCAAAACTTTGAATTAAGTTAAATGATTAATGTCTGAGAATTGAAGGAATAAAAGTTAATTATTTTTAGAATGTTTTTGATTAAAGATTTTTGAAAAATATTTCTATCTGTATGTCACATGAAATCAATAAGAACTTCATGAAATTAAGAAAATTTTGTAATAGTGTTCAGTTGCTTCTTTTATTATTTTTGTTTTCTATGTTACAATAATGTAGCATTAAAATGTTATAAATGTACTCAATCGATTTATAGAAATTTGAATTTTACACAACTCAGTAAATCATATAAGACAGGTAATAATCCTTTTTAGAAATTTATAAACTTAATAAAATAAACACACTTCCTTTTCTTCATTCTGTAACGAATATTTCAGCAATAAGTTTAGTACTTAAAAATTACCGTTCAATAAGGAAAGCAAAATAGTACAAAACATGTAAATAGGTAACTTTTTTATTTTTTTTTATAAAAGTTTATTGTTTGAACTTTCAACATCCTTCCATAATTATTTAATTTAATCAGTAATTGTGAATATGTTATGGGATCAGAGATGGGCATACTTATATGCATAATGTAAATACGAATACCATGTATATTTATGGTACTTATGAATATAAATATGAATATATTTATGTTCATAAAAAGATAAATGAATACGGATGATACGTATTCACGGCTGTAAATATAAATACGGACGTATTCATGACTGTAAAAGTCAATACGGCTGTATTTACACTTGAAAAAGTGAATACGGCAGTATTCATGTTTATAAAATGAATACGCTTAAATTTACAAAAATGAATGGAATTATTTTCTTACAACCTTATTAATGAATACTCTTATTTATTAAAAAATATATATATATATATTAAATTATTTATTAAAAAAAATCTTCTACAAATATTATTATATTTTTTATACTTAGTATTATATTCTTCGTTTTACAATATGTTATGTTTAAATGAAAAACATGTTTTTATAGACTGTAGTGCGAAAACGGCTCAAACGATTTTGATTAAACTTTCGTATGTTCTAATATGTTACAATGTATTATGTTATGTTAATTATCACTCGTAATGTTTGTATGTAATATAAATTCTCAAGCCTTTGTATTTACACTTGTAAAAGTGAATAAGGCAGTATTCACGTTTATTAAAATGAATACGCTTAAATTTATAGAAATGAATGAAAACATTTTTAGACAACCTTATTAATGAATACTCTTATTTATTAAAATATATATATATATATTTATTAAATTATTTATAAAAACAAATATTTACTACATATATCATTTTATTTTTTATATATAGTATTATATTCTTCGTGTTACAATATGTTATGTTACAATGTATTATGTTATGTTAATTATCACACATAATGTTAGTACGTA